ACCTTAAACTCACTTTGTAGCCCAGGCTGGCCTTGAACTCACTTCAACCTCCCAGAGTGCTGGGATTACAGGTATGTGCCATCCTGCCCCGCAAGACCTTTTTACTGATATAATTGTATAGTTCTTATCACAAGAAAGGTTTAAACAGGGACCAGATACAGTTATAAGAGACTCATAAAGGGCATTCAAATATTAAGTGAGACAGAGGAATCAAATGACTGTTAAATTGTCTTCTGATTATGACAATCTACAGTGTTTTGTGAATAACAACCAGACCACACTTATACATGTGTGGTACACGCTCCACATTTTGTGCAAGCTGAGAACGAAAGATAGAAGCAAAAAAAGAAAACTTTTTTTTTTTTTGATATACACTTTAGGGAGAGAAAAAAAAAAGATATCTGCTTAGAGATGCTAAGTGTTGCTTAACTATTCAAGTGGCTTCTAATCCTGTGTGTATGGGGCACAGAAGCTCCCAGTTAAGACCTTTTTCTTTTTTTGTTGTTGTTTTTTTGAGACAGGATCTTGCTATATAGTTCAGGTTGAATTTTTTTTTTTTTAAAGCCAGTCAAATTTAGCAGTGGCGGGGGTGGTATACCAACTTTAGTGACACTAATGTTAATAAGTTCTGATAACCCACTGCCATCGGACCAGCCTCAGGTTGAATTTCAATTCATTTTGTAGCTCAGTTTGGCCTTGAACTCATGCCAATCATCCTGCCTCAATCTCCTCAGTGTTCAGATTACAGGTGTGCGTCACCACCCCTGGTCCTAAGATCTTTTTGACTCTTAAAAGGAATGTTTGAATATTTTCCCCTAAACCCTGAGAGTTTTACTCACATTACCCCTTGATTTACAGAATCCGCATCAGTAATTCTCACTTAGGAGTCTAGGATTTCTTACTGAGGCACTGTGCTGCCGCAGGTTAGAGGGAGGAACCTCTGGCCCAGTTAGTATTTAATATATGGCCATTTGATACGACATGACCCTAGCAAAAGAAACTTGCACTTCAATTTCTAAGTTATTGTATCTTCCCAGTCTGCTACAGGGTGAAGCGTCCATGGTGTGGTGAATAATCTCTCTTTCGTAGTGACTTCATCAGACGACATGTGACAAGGTAGGCAGGATGGTGAGGAAGGAAGCAGGTAGCTGAAGGGTCCTCCCTGACTGTTTACTCCAGTCTCTCGCCCACCCAACAGGAAATCTCCACCTACTATTATCACATGACTGCTATTGTAGTTTTCCAGTTCACCTTAAGGTCTTGAAGAAAACACTTAAAATTGCTGCTTGAAATGCAAAATATGAACTATAATTCTGATTAAATATTTCTTAAAAAACTGATGAATTGTATAAATACTAAAGAAATTGCTTCGTAAAAAATGTATTTCACTACTTGTGAGTGTGTATCCTGCTCTTATACTCTGAGCTCCTTAGCTTAGTAATACTTAATGGGACTATAAAGAGAAGGGGAAGAAAGTTGTTTTTGAAAGAGTCTACAGAAGTTTGTAAGGACAAAGAAACATCCATATTTATCAACTTAAAAAAAGAAAAGTTCATTACAAACACTGATGCCACAATAAACTTTCTTTTCTTTTCTTTTTTTGTCTTTTTCCTTTTTTATCGGTACCGGGGATCGAACTCACGACTGCCTGCTTGCAAGGCAGGCGCTTATGCCGCTGAGCTAAATCCCCAGCCTCCGATTTTCTTTTTTTTTTTTTTTCCAGTTTTTTTTGAGACAAGGTCTTCCTATGTGATTCAAGCTCGCCTCCCAATCACATGGGAGGAGCGTAAACTGCCTGAACTCACAATGATCTTCCTGCCTCAGCCTCTGGCATCCTGGCTTACCAGTACGTGGCACTGTTACACCCTACATAAAGCACTTTTTGGTAATTGTTTTTGAGACAGGGTCTTGCTATGCAGTTCAGGCTGACCTTGAACTTAACTGTGTAGCCCAGGTTGGCCTCAAACTTATGGCAATCCTCCTGCCTCAGCCTCCTGATTGCTGGGATTACAGGCGTGCACCGCCATGCCCGGCTCTGCATAAACTATGTTAAGAATTCCCAATATTTCCCATTTTCTTTCTTCATGAAGGCAGAAAAAATGAATCAACACGTACTACTGCCCAGGATACAGGACTGGTCTGGAGGCATAAATATCTGTTTCAGGTGTTCAGTTTGCTTCTTCAATCCAGAACTTTGATTTTTAAATGAGCATCATGGAGAAATATGAAACTACCAAACTGTTTTACAGCAAATAGCAGGCAACCTGATATCATACGGGTAACTCTGTTTTAAATCTAAACATCTCATCCTGTGTCACAGGGTGGAGCAGAAGTATCAATGAAGTGAAATTAGTTATAAAAGATATTATCTGTTGTAGGTGCTGGGGATTTAGCTCAGCGGCTATATAAGCACCTGCCTTGCAAGCAGGAGGTTGTGAGTTTGATCCCCAGTACTGATTAAAAAAAAAGATATTATCTGTTGTAGTGACTGATGTATATAAATCCTGAGTAATCCTGTTTGCACCCTGAGATTTTAAAGGATTGCTGCAAAGATTACAGGAACATATACAAAACACTCACTACAAGACCTGACTTTCAATAAATGTTTTTTTTTTACTATTATTTCCGTAACTAGGAAGAGAACTTTTAAAATAGTTCTGAAGCCATACAGCAAAGCAGCAAAGGGATGGTGTTATGGCATGTGTGAAATGTCCCCTCAAGCCTCGTGCTGTCATACATGGGCCTTTTCAGGTGGTTGGATCTTGAGTGTGTGACTGATTCATGGTGCAATGCTAGGATTAAGTGTGCTAGGTGATTACTAAATCACTTCACTGATTGGTTTGGCACCACCTGACAGCCTAGACACAATATAAAAGGGGCAAAAAGATGTTGTTAAGATCTCATTTATTTTGCTACCTTATGGCTACCACAAACTGTTCACTTCTGTCAAGCTGTCTGCCTTGGAGCCAGCTGATTATGGACTGAAACCCCTACAAAGTTTGAGTTAAATAAACCTTCCCCCCCTTAACTTTGGGTGTATTTCATCTTCGAAAGGAAACAAGGAGCTAAGAGAGTTGGTCACATGCAACCATACTTTTACCACCTTTAATTTTATAGTGGTTCATTATACCATTTGAATCTAAACCTTGGTAATAGTAGCCAATAGCTACAGGTGGCTGCTAAGCATTTGAACAGTGTATAGTTACAACTGAGATGTGCTGTAAGCATAAAATGCACATCAGAGTTGGAAAACAAAGCATTATAGACAGGTAAGTTAGGTAGAAATATTACATGCAGCCAGACAGGGTTAGGCCCTTTGGGGAGTCAGTGAAGATGAGAACACAGCAAAATGCAGTTTAGAGGCGTGTCTGAAGATTAAAGGTTTACATACTTCCCTAAGGGATAAGCTGAAGCTTCAGATTATTGGTACTATCCTTTTGAGATTTCCAATATAAATAAGCCATTACCATATTATCTCATTAGAGGCAGGATGGGCCATCCCCTCCCAGCCACTATGTGACATGCTTCTCCATTGGATCAGTATTACCCAAGTGACTATACTTGAAAAACAAAATTTTTCTTTATTTTGGGACAGGGACTTGCTATGTAGTACAGGATGGTCTTGGACTCACTGTATAGCCCAGGCTGAGCTCGAACTCACAATCCCCCTGTCTCACAGAGTGCTGGGATTACAGGCGTGTGCCACCATGACTGACCCTAACTTGTAACCTTATCGGTTGGTTATTTTTGTTTTGTTTTTTGGAGACAGGGTCTTGTTATGTAGCACAGGCTGGTCTCAGACTTGTTTCAATCCTCCTGCCTCAGCCTCTCAATTGCTGGGATTACAGGTGTTTGCCAGCATACTACACTGGTTGGTTGATCATAATTTTGTTGCACATAGCACCCACCTCCTGATTTTGTTCTATAAAACTTCCTTTGAGAAAAACCTATTTGGAACCTGTCCATCTCCCAGGAGACATTCCTATTCCCCAATAAATTGTACTTTTAACCTCTGTTGTTCCTTAGAATTGATTTTTCGACTTTGGGGAACAAGAACTCAGTGTATGGGACATCTGGCACGTTGGGAGTTACATTTTTGTCCCCTGTCATTTGGAGGTCCCATATCACAAAGTTTCAAAGAGCGTAAGGTATTAAAGTAAAAATAAAATGAAATTTAAAAAACAAATAAAAAAGATTTGTAACAGTTCATAGGAAAAATTATACAGTATTTCATTTTTAAAATATGTGGCTCTGAGTTCAAACAGTATTTTGGAAACACTGGGTTAAAGGAACATATAAAATTTTGCGTTTCTTTTTCACTTTTTAAATGTGAAGCACATTTGAAAGTACTTAAGTGACTCAAGTTGTTGGACAGAGGTGATGCAGAAATTCGTTAGTCATAACCTGGCCTGGCATCTCCTAGATGCTTGGTAAAAATGCCGATTCTCAGGTCCAGACCTACAGAATCAGGATCTGCACTTCAGCAGACGGTCCTGAGGTGACCCTTATCAACTGTTCCAGAACGTTCTGGCGTACAGGGCTTAAGGATGAGGCCCAATCTGGTCCTGCGGCCACTTAAAGGCGAAGAGCCTTGCTTTAAGGAAGCTGCTTAGAGAAAACAGGAAGACGACGAGGGAGAAAACCATTGCAGAGAAGTAATGGTGAAAGATAAAACTCAAAACAGGCAGAAACAGAAGCTGAGAGGGAAAAATTCAACCAAGGAGTCAGACCTTTGCCTCTATAATTGTGAAAGAAGACGGAAACGGAGATAAAACCTATAATCAACAGCTATAATAGACCAGGAAATTGCCCGTCAAAACTAGCCTCACCCGCCCCTCGGTGGCCTCAGCAAAGCTAGGCCTGAGCCTGAGCGGGTCTCAGGTTGTAGTGCGACACGAACCGCTCCCTCCCCTAGACTACACAGTTCCTCTGGGTCTTTTTATCTTTCGCCCTAAGTCCCGTTTCCGACAGAGACAACGCGCTTACCAAGGCTCACCTACCTGCGAGCAAACCCAAGCCCAGCGACTCTGCCACCGCCACCTTCCAGTCCTTCTGCAGAGAACCCACCCCCTCTACCCCAATCGGTGATCCCATTGGTCAGGCCGCTCAAACTCAGAACTACATCTCCCGGCATGCTCGGCCCTGGGAGGGGGGAAGACACGGTACCTCCTTAAGGCTACCAAGGAACGGACCTAGTTGGAAACGCCCAGATAGGTTCCGTTTTATGCAAATTTGAGTTAAAAGCCACACCCTTTCCTTAATCCAAACGGACCTAGAACATGGTCCTCAGGGCTGTGCCCCGCCTTCCTTTTCATCTCCATGTCATTCACTGCTTTTAAATCTTCTGCAACCTAGTTGAATACATCCTAGCTACTCTGGCGTACGGAAACGAACAGATGCACTAAATCATGGAACAAAAATTTCGCAAAGCTTCAGATTAGAAGTGTGTGATTAAGCTTTTTTGGGAAGGGGGCTGTAAGGGGCGGGAAAGTCTTCTTCGAGCGTGCTGATTGGTTGTTCTGGCTGTCGCTCCGCATTACTCCATTTTTTTTCCTGCCCTCCGCCTTTCATTTTCCCTCGGGGCGGGGCTAGCGGTAAGGGGCGTAGAGGAGGTGTGATTCATTTCTTACGATTGGTAGACAGTTGTCATCACCCATCTATGGGCGGAGACGGAGGGGTGGTGGGGCGGGGGTGGCTCCAGAGAGATGGGGAGATAGGCGGGAGAGAGGGAGCGAGGGAGGGAGGGAGGGAGGGAAGGAGGTAGAGAAGAGTGGAAGATCGAGGGGTGGGAGCGCAGCTTGGTTGCTCCGTAGTACGGCGGCTCGCGAGGGAGAATCCCTAGCGGGCTCGGGAACGGGCGGAGAGGCGGGCCGGCGGGGATGGTGTGCGGGGCTACGGTCTTGCGTCCCACCCCGCGGCGTGTGAGCGGCACTGATTTATGCTTGGGGCGGCAGTGCGGTCCCGCGTGGAGATGAGGTGAGGAACGGGCTGCCTGCGGTGGTGGCAGCGGCCTGGACGACGGGAGGCGCGCGGGGGTGGGGGGCGGCGCGGGGGTCGGCGCGATGGCCGCTCAGGGCGCGCGTCCCCCCGGCAGTCCTTCGGCCTGCGCGGCGCGCTCGGGAGGCGAGGCAGCGGCCCCCCTCCGCCTAGTCTTTGCGTCCTCCCGGGGGCGGCGGCGGCGGCGGCGGCAGGGGGCCAGTGTCCGGCGTCTGAGGCCGGGGTGCCTTGGCTGGCCGTGGGGGTGATGGCCGCGGGACGCGCTTGGGATCGTAGGGGCGTTCGCAGTTCTGGCCGGCAGAGAGGGGCAGCGGGGCGGGCGGTCCTTCCGCGGCTGACCTCGCTGCCCTCGGTCGCCGGAGGGTGGCGGGCCGGCCCAGCCTCGCTCCTCGCCAGCCTCCCTGGAGTCCCTGCCCGCGGGGAGCAGCGCCGCGCACCCGCCCGTCCCCGGCCTCGAGTCCCCGGCTCATCATCCCCTTCTCTTGTCTCCCGAGCGCCTGCACCATCCTGTCAGTGAAGGACGGTCAATGCCGTGTGGCCCTGCGCAGTGCTGCCGGGGCCGCCTTGGTTGGTACTGAACAGAAAGCAGCTCCCGGTGTAGGGTGAGCGCGTCTCCTGGGTCCCCGCTTCGCCTTCCCTTTACGCACGGACTCGGGTTTCTGGTCTGGACCTGAGACACAAACGCAGTCTCTTCAGGTTTGTGTGAGGAAATGTAATCCGAATTCCGAAAAAAAAGGAAACCAACCAGGAATAGGCTGCACCTTCCTTCAGTTCTGTTTGCTTTTGGATCAGGAGACAATTTCGTAGATTACGTTTCCTTTGGGTACTCTTTTGTTGTGATTCAGACTAAAGGCTTTGCTTTTGAAGAAACACTTGAGCCGCTTCTTGATTGATTTGGAGGCTATGGAGATTTTTGATAACTTCTTGAATGTGAAAGTTTCCGGTCGAACTTTGCCATCATCGTCGGGGCTTTTTAGAAAGGAACCAGCCCGAACGTTTAGATAGATGGAGACTCCAGCCAGATGTGGCTTCTTTGTGCTTTGCTGTGCTCATCCTTTTGTTATTTCGGTAGTCAAAAATATGCAGATAATAAAAGAAGCCCGAGGAAAAGTATAGATACTAAAAGCAAAAGCCATACAAACTAATGCATCTGAAAAAATCTCAAATCAGTCAGCGGAGGCAGATTTACTAATCCCGTTGAACGAATGAAGAGAAAGGCTCAGAGAGTTAGCTCGTGGATTATGTAGTGGACAGGATGTGAGGGCAGGAACCAGGGCCAGGAGCCAGCAGGCCAGCTGGTTTGCTAGGTTCCACTCTAAACCCTCTAAATAGGAGGAATGTGTTTGTTGGGGTTCCTTTATTTTTAGATGACTTTAAGCTTTAGTGTACAGAAGCTTAATACTCCTTATTAGTTATTACTTTGATTTGTCTATCTTTTAGAACAAAACTTTTTTTTTTTTAAAAAACTGGTTAAAGCATTTATATTGTTTCCATGGGATGTTGCTCATAAGTAAAAACATTTTTTTTTAAAAAAAATGACAGTATTTGCGTTTACAGAAACACTGGGAAGTTTTAAATGATCAAAATTAAGAAATGAGAGACGTTTGATTTGGTGATGGGGTTAAAGATATTTTAAATACCTTTAACGTAGTAAGGATGTCTTCTGATAGTACATTAAGATTGGTATTTTTTTACCTAAGCATGTATCTGCTGAAACTGATGAGCATACCTTTCACAAAATACTATCATTATTCTGCCAGAGTGAGAGGAACAAATTTTTAATGTACTTTGGAACCCTGTTGGTTATTCAGATACTAAGCATTGTGAAATAGGGCATAAAATGAGTGGTATCTAGTTTTGTGAAATCTACCTCAGCACTTTATTTTTCTTTTTTGCAGTTGACTAGCCATTTCTTTTTTCTTAATCCTCATCTCTAATCTTGACTGTATAATTCTGCATAGTTTTTTTGTGTCCCCAGATGCCTAGATTGAGGCACACCCTCCAAGTTTTTGTTAGAGATTAAGGGAAAGGCAGGAGGAAATTCCTCTATTCATTCTCATGTTGGTTTTTTAGGTAGTGCGAGGGATTGGCTCAGGGTGGAGATGATAAACACAAGCTCAGCCTCATACTAATCTTTTAATCTACTGAACTTGTGAATTGTAGAGAATTCATTAATTGATTGTGGGTTTATATCACTCAGTTTACATCCCACTGCCACAGAACTGGTCTCTTGTGAATGATGTTCCCTCCTGAATGGCCCTCCTTTCTGATTGGTTTTCTCAGAGTCTGGAACTTTGATCTCTTACACCAGAATTACCTGAGGTTAGAAATGAAGGTTAAGAGTCCGACATCTGGATGATTTTTTTAGTTTGTTTGTTTTTGGGCAGTAGTGGGAGTCAAATCCAGGGTTGCTTTCCAGCTTGCTTGTCTGCCTTTTTGTTTGCTTTCTTTTTTTCCCTCTTTCTTTCGTTTTGTTCTTTCTTTTTTTTTTTTTTTTTTTTCTTTTTTTATTGGTACCAGGGATCGAACTCACGACCACACACTTGCAAGGCAGGTACTTATGCCACTGAGCTAAATCCCCAGCCCCCGTTTTGTTCTTTCATTCCTTCATTCTGGAGATAGCATCCAGATCTTTTCACCGAGTTGTATCTGCAGCCCTTTATATTTTTTAAATTTTGAGACTGGATCTCACTAAGTTGTTTCGTTGCTCCCCCAGTGCTGGGGTTACAGATGTATGTCGCCACATCCAGCTTATTTTTTATTTTAAGGCAGGGTCTCAGTAAATTGCCCTGGCTGGGTTCCATCTTTCATTCTACCTCAGCCTCCCCAGTACAATAACTGAGATTAAAGGATGTGCCAGTGTGCCAGGTTTAAATTTTTGAATGAGGGGCTGGGGATTTAGCTCAGCGGCATAAGTGTCGTGAGTTCGATCCCTGGTACCCATAAAAATGAAAAAAAAGATAAAAAAAAATAAGTAAATTTTTGAATGATCACTCCTGAATGGCTTCACTTACAGATTGGCTTTCTCAGTCTGAGTCTCAGATTGTTTGAGTCAATCTCAATTGAGACTTATATTTGTTAAAAAAGCAGGTTTTTAGCCTGCATAGTGACTCATACCTAAAATCTAGCTCTTGGGAGGCTGAAGTAAGAGGAGCACAGATTCAAGTCCTGCTTGGACCATTTAGCAAGACTTTCATGATAAAAACATTAATATTAAAAATGACTGGAGACTCAGCTAAGTGGTAGAATGCTCCTAGCTTCAGTCCTCACTATTGGAAAACAGTAAGTTTCCTTTGCCTCACTTCAGAATCAGACAATTGGAGGAGCTCTGGAATTAGTACTTACAAAAAGTTTTGCAGGAATTTCTCCTGAGCAGTGAAGTTGGAGAATAGACTGCATCCATGCTTTTTTCCTACTCAGTAGCCCATAAGACTATCTCTTCAAGTGGATAGCAAGTTTCTCAAGTGGCGGAGTAAGTTTAATACCTTAGGTTGCTAATAAAAACTTTTTGGCTATGACCTTAAAATATGTAGTCGTCCACGTGATTTATGCTTAAGAATGGCAGAGACTTCTGCTTACCATCGTACCCCTAGAACCTACAGAAACTGAATTAAATATTTGTTTAGTGATGAGTAAATTACATGGTAGTAAGGCCAGTTTTTAAAGCCTTTATTGTCAAATTAATCACATCATCAAGTTGTCACTAATTTTATAAATCAAGGACAACAAACACTCTATCTCAGTAATTTCTCGAAGTTAGGTTAGTATTGAAAGGAGGTACCCTTCTTAACATTGAATGCTCCAGGTAATAAGCTGGAAAGAAAATTTCTAGCAAAACGTGCTCAAAAAATAAACTTAAGTCACAGTGTAATGATAAATAATTTATCATTGCATTGAATACCATCTTATAAGCTCTGATAACACCAACATCATACTATAAAAATGTCCCCAGGAAATACACAGTTGATATGCTTTCTGATTTCCCTTTTCATACTAATAAAGTGTTATTCCCCTTTTTCAGAGTCTACCATTGGATCCTATAAAATAAGAGATTATACTGTTGAGGGTTGGATGGTTAAAAGCACAAACTCTGGAGAATATTGGATTTAGTGACTTTGATCTTGTCAATGAAACTTTTAGTGCCTCAATTTTATCAGTGGAAAATGGAAAGAATAATAAAGTTTGAGTAGTTAAAAGTGCTTATTTAAGTTTTGGATATACCCTGTTAATAAATTGTGGTTAATGTTGATTTTAAAGAACTGGGTGTAGAAAAGTTTGTGAAATTCAAAAGCTAACTCATTTAATTTTTTTCTTTATGGCAGTAAGTAAAAATCTATTGATTAAAATGTCTTTTGCTAATTTCTTGGGCACTAAATTGTATACCTTAAAAATTTGGATAATTCGTTTAAACATTAAAAGCACTTAAGCTATGAAATAATTATGTAAATATAAGATTTAAAAAATAAAGTTAAATCTTATTGGTCATTTTAAGTTTAACCTTATTACTTTAGTGATAGGACTTCTGCACTGAGCTGTATCCTTAACCCTTTTTATATTTTTATTTTTACTTTGATATAAGATATTACTGAGTTGCTAAATTGCCTACAGTGGGCTCAAATCTACATCTTCCTGCCTTGGCCTGCCAGAGTGGTAGGATTTCAGGTGCGTGTTGCTATACCCAGTTCCCTTTTTATTCATTTTTTGTAATTTTGAGGCAGGTTCTCTGTAAGTTGCCTAGAGTAGGCTCAAACTTTTGATCTTTTTGTTTCAGACTCCTAGAGTATTAGGGGTTATAGATCTGTGCCACCACACCTGGTTGATATTCTTTTTATTTAAAAATATAGTATACATGGAAAAACTGAAATACAGGAAAGTAGTAGAAAACTATAAAATACTCATGATTTTATTGCCTGAGTACAGGCTCTTCAGATCATTCTGTTTGTGCATGTGGCTATTCATGTACAATTTCTGGTGATAAA